ATCAAAGATAGGGTGACCTTATGTGTGTGGGTTTATCTCTGGGCTTTCTATCCTGTTCCATTGATCTATCTTTCTGTTTTTGTGCCAGTACCGTACTGTCTTGATTACTGTAGCTTTGTCATATAGTCTGAAGTCAGGGAGCTTGATTCCTCCAGCTCCGTTTTTCATTCTCAAGATTGCTTTGGCTATTCGGGGTCTTTTGCGTTTCCATACAAATTGTAAAATTTTTGTTCTAGTTCTGTGAAAAATGCCAGTGGTAGTTTGATAGCGATTGCATTGAATCTAGATTGCTTTGGGTAGTAGAGTCATTTTCACAATATTGATTCTTCCAATCCAAGAACATGGTATATCTCTCCATCTATTTGTATCATCTTTAATTTCTTTCATCAGTGTCTTATAATTTTCTGCATCCAGGTCTTTTTTCTCCTTAGGTAGGTTTATTCCTAGATATTTTATTCTTTTTGTTGCAATGGTAAATGGGAGTGTTTTCTTGATTTCACTTTCAGATTTTTCATCATTAGTGTATAGGAATGCCATAGATTTCTGTGCATTAATTTTGTATCCTGCTACTTTACCATATTCATTGATTAGCTCTAGTAGTTTTCTGGTAGCATCTTTAGGATTCTCTATGCATAGTATCATGTCATCTGCAAACAGTGACAGCTTTACTTCTTCTTTTCCGATTTGGATTCCTTTTATTTCCTTTTCTTCTCTGATTGCTGTGGCTAAAACTTCCAAAACTATGTTGAATAACAGTGGTGAGAGTGGGCAACCTTGTCTTGTTCCTAATCTTAGTGGAAATGCGTTCAGTTTTTCACCATTGAGGACGATGTTGGCTGTGGGTTTGTCATATATGGCCTTTATTTTGTTGAGGAAAGTTCCCTCTATGCCTACTTTCTGCAGGGTTTTTATCATAAATGGGTGTTGAATTTTGTCGAAAGCTTTCTCTGCATTTACTGAGATAATCATATGGTTTTTCTCCTTCAATTTGTTAATATGGTTTATCATATTGATTGATTTGTGTATATTGAAGAATCCTTGCATTCCTGGAATAAACCCCACTTGATCATGGTGTATGATCCTTTTCATGTGCTGTTGGATTCTGTTTGCTAGTATTTTGTTGAGGATGTTTGCATCTATGTTCATCAGTGATATTGGCCTGTAGTTTTCTTTCTTTGTGACATCCTTGTCTGGTTTTGGTATCAAGGTGATGGTGGCCTCGTAGAATGAGTTTGGGAGTGTTCCTCCCTCTGCTATATTTTGGAAGAGTTTGAGAAGGATAGGTGTTAGCTCTTCTCTAAATGTTTGATAGAATTCGCCTGTGAAGCCATCTGGTCCTGGGCTCTTGTTTGTTGGAAGATTTTTAATCACAGTTTCAGTTTCAGTGCTTGTGATTGGTGTGTTCATAATTTCTATTTCTTCCTGATTCAGTCTTGGCAGGTTGTGCATTTCTAAGAATTTGTCCATTCCTTCCAGGTTGTCCATTTTATTGGCATAGAGTTGCTTGTAGTAATCTCTCATGATCTTTTGTATTTCTGCAGTGTCAGTTGTTACTTCTGCTTTTTCATTTCTAATTCTATTGATTTGAGTCTTCTTTTTTTTCTTGATGAGTCTGGCTAATGGTTTATCAATTTTGTTTATCTTCTCAAAGAACCAGCTTTTAGTTTTATTGATCTTTGCTATCATTTCCTTCATTTCTTTTTCATTTATTTCTTACCTGATATTTATGATTTCTTTCCTTCTGCTAACTTTGGGGTTTTCTTGTTCTTCTTTGTCTAATTGCTTTAGGTGCAAGGTTAGGTTGTTTATTTGAGATGTTTTCTGTTTCTTAAGGTAGGATTGTATTGCTATAAAGTTCCCTCTTAGAACTGCTTTTGCTGCATCCCATAGGTTTTGGGGCATCATGTCTCCATTGTCATTTGTTTCTAGGTATGTTTTTATTTCCTGTTTGATTTCTTCAGTGATCACTTCGTTATTAAGTAGTGTATTGTTTAGCCTCCACGTGTTTGTATTTTTTACAGATTTTTTCCTGTAATTGATATCTAGTCTCATAGCGTTGTGGTCAGAGAAGATACTTGATACAATTTCAGTTTTCTTAAATTTACCATGGCTTGATTTGTGAGCAAAGATATGATCTATCCTGGAGAATGTTCCATGAGCACTTGAGAAAAATGTGTATTCTGTTGTTTTTGGATGGAATGTCCTATAAATATCAATTAAGTCCATCTTGTTTAATGTATCATTTAAAGCTTGTGTTTCCTTATTTATTTTCATTTTGGATGATATGTCCATTGGTGAAAGTGGGGTGTTAAAGTCCCCTACTGTGAGTGTGTTACTGTCAATTTCCCCTTTTATGGCTGTTAGTATTTGCCTTATGTATTGAGGTGCTCCTATGTTGGGTGCATAAATATTTACAATTGTTATATCTTCTTCTTGGATCAATCCCTTGATCAGTATGTAGTGTCCTTCTATGTCTCTGCTAATAGTTTTTATTTTCAAGTCTATTTTGTCTGATATGAGAATTGCTACTCTAGCTTTGTTTTGATTTCCATTTGCATGGAATATCTTTTTCCATCCCCTCACTTTCAGTCTGTATGTGTCCCTAGGTCTGAAGTGGGTCTCTTGTAGACAGCGTATATACGGGTGTTGTTTTTGTATCCATTCAGCCAGTCTATGTCTTTTGGTTGGAGCATTAAACCATTTACATTTAAGGTAGTTATCGATATGTATGTTCCTATTACCATTTTCTTAATTGTGTTGGGTTTGTTATTGTAGGTCTTTTTCTTCTCCTGTGTTTCCTGCCTAGAGAAGTTCCTTTAGCATTTGTTGTAAAGCTGGTTTGGTGGTGCTGAATTCTCTTAGCTTTTGCTTGTCTGTAGAAGTTTTAATTTCTCCGTCGAATCTGAATGAGATCCTTGCTAGGTAGAGTAATGTTGGTTTTAGGTTTTTCCCTTTCATCAGTTTAAATATGTCCTGCCACTCCCTTCTGGCTTGCAGATTTCTGCTGAAAGATCAGTTGTTAACCTTATGGGGATTCCCTTGTATGTGTTTTTTTGATTTTCCCTTGCTGCTTGTAATGTTTTTTCTTTGTATTTAATTTTTGTTAGTTTGATTAATATGTGTCTTGGCGTGTTTCTCCTTGTATTTTTCCTGTATGGGACTCTGTGCTTCCTGGCCTTGATTGACTATTTCCTTTCCCATGTTAGGGAAGTTTTCAACTATAATCTCTTCAGTTATTTTCTCAGACCCTTTCTTTTTCTCTTCTTCTTCTGGGACCCCTATAATCTGAATGTTGGTGCATTTAGTGTTGTCCCAGAGGTCTCTGAGACTGTCCTGAATTCTTTTCATTCTTTTTTCTTTATTCTGCTCTGCAGTAGTTATTTCCACTATTTTATCTTCCAGGTCATTCCTCCGTTCTTCTGCCTCAGTTATTCTGCTATTGATGCCTTCTAGAGAATTTTTAATTTCATTTAGTGTGTTGTTCATCATTGTTTGTTTGCTCTTTAGTTCTTCTGGGTCCTTGTTAAATGTTTCTTGTATTTTCTCCATTCTATTTCCAAGATTTTGGATCCCCTTTACTATCATTCCTCTGAATTCTTTTTCAGGTACACTGCCTATTTCCTCTTCATTTGTCTGTTCTGGTGGGTTTTTACCTTGCTCCTTCATCTGCATATTTCTCTGTCTTCTCATTTTGCTTATCTTACTGTGTTTGGGGTCTCCTTTTCGCAGGCTGCAGGTTCATAGTTCCCATTGTTTTTGGTGTCTGCCCCCAGTGGGTGAGGTTGGTTCAGTGGCTGGTGTAGGCTTCCTGGTGGAGGGGACTGGTGCCTGTGTTCTGGTGGGTGGGGCTGGATCTTGTCTTTCTGGTGGGCAGGGCCACGTTCGGTAATGTGTCTTGGGGTGTCTGTGAACTTAGTATGATTTTAGGCAGCCTCTTTGCTAATGGGTGGCTTGTGTTCCTGTCTTGCTAGTTCATTGGCATGGGGCATCCAGCACTGGAGCTTGCTGGCTGTTGGGTGGAGCTGGGTCTTAGCACTGAGATGGAGATCTCTGGGAGAGCTGTCGCTGATTGATATTACGTGGGACTGGGAGGTCTCTGGTGTACCAATGTCCTGAGCTCGGCTTTCCCACCTCAGAGGCTCAGGCCTGACACCAGGCCGGAGCACCAAGACCTTGTCAGCCACACGGCAGGTAGGAGACAGCTAACTATGCAAGTATCTCAGTGGCTTCTTAAATGATGGGAAGATGTGATGCATGAAGGACACCAACTCAAGTCTCACAGCTTAGTTCTGTGATCTTGGACCAGGCAGTTAACTTCTCTGTGCCTCAGATTTCCTTTTGTGCAGCACCTCCTCGCCCCAGAGGCCCAGTCAGGTGCGAGGGAAGGGCTGTCGCTCACAGGCTGTGCTGGGAGGAAGCCCGGGAGGCTGGTGCAGGACTGTCAGAGCAATCATATGCTTGGCACGGTATTAGATGCTCAAGATACGGCAGTGAACGAGAGAGATGATATACTTTGGCCTCCTGAAGTTTATATCCAGTTGTATTTATATCGAGCAGGGCATATAATTTCCTTGTCTCAATTCTCTCGTCTGTGGAGGGAGAAGAGACAGGCACTGCGTCCCACTCACTGTGTTCTTGGGGAAAGCGCTCCGCCTCCTTGGCCTTGGGAGGGCCTCGCACCAGCATGTGTAGGGCGAGGGTGGGGTACCTAGTGCCCAGAGGCCTGCCTCCTTACGGCATTTGGGAGGTAAAGGGGGGCCACTTTACCTCCCAACGGGAAACTCAGCGCCCCTGTCCGCAGCCGAAGGACCGGCAGTTTAAAGGCCACGGGCACACGGAAGGCGAAGGATGCTGGCGGGGGCGGCCTGGTTGCGGTATTAAGTATGTTTCTGTGAACAGCTCCATCTGCCTTTCCTCTCAGGGGGAGCAGCATGGCCGCCTCTCCGGAACACCCCTTCGAGCTGTTGACTTTTGCTTTTGGCTCTTTCCCTTTGTGGTAGGTGGGACTCTGTCGTCCTGGAGACGTTGGGTCTGATGTCTCACACCTAAATCTTCACAAGACCTTCTGCATTCCCCATGGCGGAGGTGGCCCTGGCATGGGGCCCATCGGAGTGTGAGTTCTGGGCCCTGGTTGCAGGATGGCTTTGGAGACTGAGAATCAAAGATGGGTCTCAAACTCTCTGTTCTTCTCATCGAGGTCTTCAAGTGTCAGGATACCTTCACATGTGGCGTGCCTATAAGGGCTGGGTGAGGAGCAGTGAAAGGGGTGCTTTTAGGGTTTGTCTAAGGAGAAACAGACTTAGATTTTGTTAACCACAGTGTGTGACCACACTCAGCTCCCAGTCATGCATAGACAGAGCAGGATTATTAACAGAGTGATGAATAGGGAGCTTTACGGAGCATTATGGCTGAGAACCGGCATATGAGCACCTAGAAGTGCCTCTCAGACTTTAATTTAGACTTCTAAGCAGCTTTTCTTTGCTTCTTCTTAAAATTAGCTGATGGTTACACCTGAGGATCTAACACATAACATGGTGACTATAGTTGAGAACACTATTGTATAATTGAAATTTGCTAAGAGAGTAGAACTTAAACGCCCCTCCCCCCCAAAAAAAGTGAATTGGGTGTAAGATGTTGAACACTTTGCAGCCTGAATTCTTATTACATCTGAGATAAGTAAGAAGGAAACAGACCTTATTACTAGAAATAATTGGATGCAGTCAGAATAAGACTAAAGCAGTATCTCGTAGCAGTTGATAACTACACCGTGAAGCCAAATCATCTCATGAAAATGGTGCTGAGCCGCCATTTCCTGAGCATCTTCATTTTTCCAGAACTGTGCCAAAGGGGGTCAGTCTTCAGGAATGCTGTGAGCCTGGCCCCCTGCTTTCTTCTTCTTTCCTTTTTGATTACTATTATTTATAGTAAGTGAAGGAGGCCCAGTGCCTCAGCTGTGGGGGAGGCAGGATGGCTGACGTTCACATGCTGGCCTCTGATGTGTTACCCCATGGGGCTTCTTCTCAGCAGCGTCCTTCTATATCCCTTAGATGCCTTGGGAAAGAGTGTGGGAGCCGGGGCTGGGAGGGAGAGGGTGTGTAGGGCTGGGATGTCACCACATTCTTGTGAGCCCATGGCCCTGCATACTATTCCAGGCTGCTTGTCTCTGCCAGATTCGCCGCCACGGTTCTTGGGTGAGCTGCTGGGATGCTGATGGCTGCTGAGCCATGCCTCCAGCAGAGGAGGAAGGAAGGAACACTTCCTGAACATCTGCCCCTTAGCAGGTGCCGGGTCCCTCCCATGTCAGAGTTCCTCTGCTAGGAATAGAGCTTCCTGAGAGGGCCCAGCACCTGCCTGTTTGGTTAGACTGGATCTTTTTACAGCTTCTAAATTTGTATTAAAAAAAACAATACAGGAAGAAGCATCTTGTCCCTTTTCTGCCTAATCATCCCATCATTTCGGTAAAGCCAAGTGAAGATGCCCGGCCTTTGGGTACCGTCAGCGCGGCCCCATGGGGCTCCAGTTCCATCTTGCCCATTTCATGGGCTTATATTAAGGTGAGGCCTATGGATGTGTGTTAAAGGGGTGGGGGTGTGTGATGTGTGGGTGGGGAACTGAGACTGCAGACTTGAAAATTGCTGACTTGAGTGGAGAAACCTTCCTAAAGAGATCAGCTAAAACTCATTTTGTCTCTTCTTCATCAGGCTGTTTTCCTTTGGGTTCTCATAGTGGGTTTAACACCAGAGGAACTGACACGCCAGATATATTTTTCCAGACGGAGTTAAGTACCATGAGTCATATGGATGTTCTGGCCACGTCATTTGGTTTCCTGTAGGATTTGTATGGCCCCTCGCAAGTGAAAAACAGTGCACATACTAATTATTACACTTGGTTGAGATCCTGGGATAAATTTTAGGAATACATCTCATTTCGCTTTATATTTCTTGGGAGCCTGGAGGATAAGATGAAAATAGCAGAAATTTGCTTATGTGGTGGTTTCCCAAAGCTCTTTGCCCTTTAGGGCCTGTGGAACTATACTCTCGGGGGTAATTAGACTTTGTCGGAGAACAGGCTTCCTTCCTTTGTGTTTTTCCAAGAAACACTATGGCCGGAGTTTATTTTATACAGCTCTTGTTCAAACTGTCCTGCCTACCTCCTGGGCTGAGAAGACCGTGCGTTGGATAGGAGCACTTCTTCAGCCGCTAATTAGAGCAGCCTTCCCCAACTGGCTCCCCTCCTTAGAGGAAGGGAGGCTTCTGGTGAAATAAACCCCTAACTCAGCTATGCAAATAACACCAGATGACTCTTTGGGCTGGTTGTTATTCTTGAACAGTGTCGCATTTATGATTCTTAATGAAAACTTTCTGGGAAGCTGGAACAACAATTCTGTACCCCAGAGACTAAAACCTGCTTTTTGAAATGATACTCGAGTTAGTTTGCAAGTAGTAAAAACAAAAACAATCATCATAAAGGTCTGCTTCTTTGCAAACAGAATCTAATTTACAGCCTCCTTTTGGTCTCTACAAACCTGAGTTATTTGTTATGGAATGTTATTTGGGCTGGAGATGAATCACGTATAGAAAATAAATGCCCCAAGGCTGGTTTGGCCATATGCCAGGAACACCAGAGAGAGCCTCAGTTTAAAAATGAAATAAATAAAGTAGGGTTTAAGCCACCCCTCTGACCTTGGGCCCTTTCTTTATTTCAGGCTGTTGTTACTTATCACCTGGCCTCTAGAATTATCTTCTCTCCCTGCTGCAGTCCCTCTTGGAGCCTCCCTACAGGACTGCTAGATTCCCGCCAGGGCTCTCCATCCTCTCCTCGCTTCCCTTTGCCTCTGCTGCTGGATCTCCCTAGCCTAGCCTGCACAAAATCCTTAGGGGATTCTTCCAAAATGCACTTGCCTAGGGCCCATCCCAGAGAGAATCAAATTCAGCATATGCAGCTTAGGGCTTGGGCCGTCAAGCTGCTCAGAGACTCTGATGCCCAGGCCGAGAGGCAGTGGCTGGCTGAACCAAGTCCAGGTCCTTCCCAGCAAGGGTTTGAGGCTTGTGAGAGGTAGTCACAGCCTACCCGGCTCTACAGCACCTCCCAAGCTGCAGCCATGTGCCTTCCATTCCCTACCTTTGTTTCTGCCATTCTTCTCACTTGGAGTGTCGTCCCCTTTCTCTTTGTCTATCCAAATTCTACCCATTTTCAAGTTTCCACTCAAGTTCTAACTCTTACCCTAGGAACCCTTCTTTGACCAAAATGTGTCCTCTCCTTACTTTGGACTTCGGCGTCCCTGCCCTTTTACTTGGTGCTTTCTCATTTGCTTTACATTAGTTATGTATTAATATACATCAAGCCTCCATCATATGAGGTGTTCTGGGAAGAAAGTAGTGAGTAAAAATTGGTGCAGTCCTGGTTTTAAGCTCTTTGCTGCTAATGGCATTCACCCCATATAATCACAGGGACTTATGAACCACCAGAAAAGAATAAGATTGAACCTGGCAGTTGTTAAACATAAAGCCCTCAAATATGGACAATTGGAAGACAAACCATACAAAATGGATTCAGTGGGGATTTTGGCCAAGATCCCATGAGATTCCTGGCAATTATCAAGGCATCTCAAATTCACAATGAACAACCAAACAAAACCTCCCCCAAATGCATGTAACCTAAAAACAATTCTTTTTCTTCGGTAGATAACACAATAGTCAGCAGTTAGTTTTGCCCTGTTCTAAGCTTTGTAACTACAATAAGAAGCATAAAATTACTGTTCAAAGGAGAAAACCAAAAATTATTTCAGGCTTAGAGAGGATTGACAGATATCCTTGTTAGGATATTTCACTCATCTGCAATCCAGAGAGCGGTGGTAGGCTGATTTCCTTTGTGAGTGGGATTTATCTGGGGATACCTTTGGTTAGTGTCCATTGGGTTTCCCTGTTCTGTGGTTGATGGCTCTTTTTCCCTCTGTTGCAGATGATGGGAGGCAAGGGCCTTAAACAGGCCACAGAAATTGCTATATTAAATGCCAACTACATGGCCAAGAGATTAGAAAAACACTACAGAGTCCTTTTCCGGGGTGCAAGAGGCAAGTATGAACTTTAGTCTGTATTCACCTTGGTTTTCTTCCTTGGCCAAACGAAGTTTGACCTAGTGGATGAGGCTTTCAGAAGAGGGTGGGGAACTTCTGTTTCTTAGCACAGACCAGAGAAAAGCCTAGAGTTATTGGAAAGCACTTCAGTTTAGTAAACAGGATATCACTATTTGCGAGGCTCTGCCATGCACTTAGTCTCTGAAGCGCAGGCCAACACGGAGCCCACACCACGGAGAGACGTATACATAAATACCACGCACTCATTACCTCCTCCAGTTCCATGGGAATGAGTGGAGTAATTCAGACTGGGCAGAGGCAGGGCAGAACAGTTGGGAGAGCCTTCTGGGAGGAGCCATTTGAGATAAGCCTGAAAGGAAGAGTAGCAGAACCCCAGTAAACAGAGATACAGGAGCAAGCCGGAGAGAAAGGAGTTGTCTGGGTGGCGGGAGTGTTGGGTGGGTTGAAGGATGGGATAGGAGGAAAGGGAGCAGATGAAGATGAGGCTGGAGAGGTAGCATGGGGCTTTGAAGGCCTTGGAAGGCTCTGGACTCTACAGTTGGGCCAGAAGGGTTTTTGAGCAGGGTAATGACAGGATTAAGAGGATGTTAATATCATTAAGACAGTAGGAGGAGATGAACATGCTGTTAGAAGTAGAATCAGGGGAGTTAGTTACTAATTAGTTGAGAGTGAAGAAATGTTAGGTAAGTCTCCCTCTTAGAGGGAGTAAGAGATGGAGGAACAAGCTCTCCCTGGAAGTGATGGGAGAGGCTGGAGCAGGTAGACTTGCAGAGATGTGGCTCTGGGCACAGGATCTGAGAGCAGGCTCTTGGAATTGGTGGGACCCAAGGAAACAGTGTTGAGAAGCCAGAGCAAAACCCCTGAAGCAGATGGCTACATGGAGTGGGTGCGGAAAAGTGGCATCTGGTGAGGGGGGCTCTGTGCCGAGGCAGCTTTAGATGCCCCCCTTCCCAACCCCCAGCATTTGTCATGGCGCCTGTCCTTCCTGCCTCTGCGCTGGCCCCACCTCCTCCCTGAGGCTGCCCTTTCCTTTCCCGGTGGCGAGAACTGCTCCTCTTGGCTCCCTCCTCCGCGGAGGATTCTCCCACTCCGTTTATCATCTGGCTGTCTCCTGCAGACCTTGAGCTCCTGCCCGGCGGAGGCTGTGGCTGCCTCGGTCCCTGGCATCGTGTCAGCACAACATGCACAGTCAGCACATGTGGGTGGTCTTACGTGACATGGAGGGACAGGCTGAAGAGCAGGTGGCTTAAAAAGACTCAGGTCTCATGAGTCTTAAAAAGCACCATTACCTTTCACAATTAGGAAGCCTTTGGTCACCTTCGAAAGCAGTTAGGGCCCAACAGTGCGGTAGATGCTAGATGGAAATGGGCTGAGAAGTAGGCTGAGGTTGGGAGAAGGGAGAAGCTTTCATGGTTTGGGGGGTTTGGTGGTGAAGGGGGACAGGAGCTGCTTCAATAGGATGCAGCTTTTTTTTTTTTTTTTTTTTTGCGGTACGTGGGCCTCTCACTGTTGTGGCCTCTCCTGTTGCGGAGCACAGGCTCTGGACGCAGGCTCAGCGGCCATGGCTCACGGGCCCAGCTGCTCCGCGGCATGTGGGATCTTCCCAGACCGGGGCACAAACCTGCGTCCCCTGCATTGGCAGGCGTACTCTCAACCACTGCACCACCAGGGAAGCCCAGCTTTGTTTTTAAATAAGAGAACAAGATGATTTTAAGCTGCCAGGGAAAAGGCTGTGAAGAGGGGAGAGTGAAGCTACAACAGAGGGAATAATAGGAGGGGGAGTCAAGTCACCCTGGAGGTGATGGGAGGGTGGCACTAAGAGTCAGGTGGACAGGCGGCGCATGGGCTGTGGGCACAGAATCTGAGACCAGGGAGCCACGGGTCTTGAGCTTGGGGCAGAGAGAGCAGAGAGCCGCCAGTAACCAGTGCCCAGACCCAGGGCCACGGGTACGAGGCCCCTCTTTGGCTCTTAGTGTCTCCAGCCCAGGGAAGTGTGCATCTCCACCTGTGATCTTTAATTTAAAGGCTCATCTTGCTTTGTAAATATGTATCCAAAAGGGTGGTTCTGGAGTTTGAAAATAGAAAAGAACTAAATAATCGGGAGCTCTGGTTAACAATGCTCCCCAGAGAGTAGGAAAGAAAGTTGTGGGCAATATGTCTCTAAGCAACACAATGAAATGCTTTTGTTGGGTATGAAAGAAGCTACAAGAGCTACTGATTAATTCAAATATAGCTCCTGTGCTGTGAGATGCATCCTGCTTATGTATTGGCCTTCAGGATTAGCATCAGTATTGGTTTTGTCTGATTATATAAGTCATGTACATATGCTCAACATAGAACATTTGGACAATAAAAAAGTTTGAGGAGGAAAATGTAAGTGATCCATGGTTCCATCAAGCAGACATAACCACTGAATATTTTGCTGTATTCCTTCCCACCTTACTTTTAGACAATTGAGATCATATTATAAACACAGTGTGTATCCTGTTTTTTAACTTTATTTTATATTGCGATTATTTCCCTCGTCATTAAAGGTGCTTTGAAAGTTGCTACATCGATTCTATCATATATACCATGATTTAAGTAATTGTAGGGGTCCCCCCCCCCCGCCCGCCTCCTGTCCACCATGTTATTTGCATTTGTAACAATGCTGCAATGAACATCTTTTACCTAGAGTTATTTTTTAAACGTCCTTGACTATTTCCGCAGGTTAGAGTTGTAGAAGAGAAGTTATCTCAGAGGATCTGAATGCATTTAAGCTCTTGAAATGTATGGCCTTGTTTCCCCTCAGAGACAATAGCAATTGATTTCATTCTAAGCATACGAGTAACCATCGCACTAGGGCCCAGTGAGCACCAAGTGCCAGGCTGGGAAAGCAACACAAACCAAACCCCAAATGTCTTTGCCAATTTGATGGGTGAAAATCATCTTTTTGCTTTAATTTACAAGGTTTAGGGTTTTTTTTCTTCTAATTGTTATTTTTTATTTAATACTTCCTTAGGATTAAGTTTATTTAACAACTTCATTGAGATAGGATTCACATACCATACACATCACCCACTGAATTTCAGTGGTTTTTAGTGTGCTCACAGAGTTGTGCGATGCAAGCCTGAGTTCTTTAGAGCAAGAACGAATGTGGTGTGGACCGCATGGGGATGCATGGCACTCCAGGAGAGGAAAGTGAATGAGCACCTGTGGCTCAGGTGCCTGCCGTGTGCTTGGCATCACGTGACTGGTTCGGGCAGAGACTGTCCCAGGAGATTCGCAACACAGAAAGATGGATGAAATTTCCATTTGTTTCCATTTTATCCAAGAATTAAATAATGAATTGTATTTCTCATCCCAAGCAGAAAGAGATTGGTGATTACAGACTTTCTTACCCAATCCCAAAGTTCATGAAACCAAAAATTGTCTCGTGTTTGGTCTGGTAAACACATTCATTATACAATCGGAGGCTTAGTATTTTAGGGCCTAAAAAAGAATGATCGCCGTACCTCCTGAGAGCCCAAAATAGAAATGTTCTTAATAAACACATTGTATTCCAAAATGTCTAATGTCAATATTAGAAGACGTTACTCATCTTAATCATATTTACCAGCTCTAAATGAGACTGGAATCACGGACGACTGTGAGGCAATAATTTTAATGAACTCCAGGCTTCCCTTTATGAACCACTTCTTTGAGAGATTTGAAAATACCAGCGAAACTTGTTGAGGCTTAGGGTTTTGTGAAACAAGGAAGTGATAGCCAAGAATTGGGATGGGGAAGCAGCAGTAGTATTTATTCTGCTAGGATAAGGTAAGGAATTACCTCAGGTAGGGTGAGGCATTTTTAAAGGAGGAACTGAAAAAATTCACAGGTGTCTGCTCTTGTGGGAGGCTAGGCTCACTGTTTGACCCAAGTAGAGTTCCCATCAGTGGATAGGCCATTTTGTTAGTAGCCCAGTGTTTTATTTATGTTTTAATCTCTTAAATGCTTATCTCTTTTTGACCTTAGGCAAACCTAACTCTGCCTGGAAATTCTTGTCCCTGAGAGGTTTCCCGGTGGCCTTTATGGGCAGGTGGACATGGGCCTTAGAAGCTGGACCCTCACATCCCTGGCTGGGAAGTGACCTCCTGAGGCTAGAGGGGGGTGGCCCACCTACTTGACCTCATTCCCAGGGAAACAGGAGTCTTGATGCTGTTAGTTGTGGTCCCTGGGTTGCAAATGAAAAGCTTGACCGAGTGTTGATTGCCCACCCAAGCTTTCTAATTAGCTAGTGAGTTCCATTTATTTCTAGGCACTCACTCTGAGGATGCAGGATAAGAAGGTTTCAGTGCCTGCTCTCAAGGAGGGTTTTGGGAAGCCTTATCTTTCTGTAGCACTTTCCCATGTCATCTTCAGCCTTGTAAGATAATTAACACATGAGGGGTTGAGAGGGGGGATGTTCCAAGCTTAGAGCCAAGCCGCTTTCTTTCTTTTTTTTTTCATTGGGGTATAGTTGCTTTACAAATCTGTGTTAGTTTCTTCTGTACAGCAAAGTGAATCAGCAATACGTATATATATATCCCCTCTTTTTTGGATTTCCTTCCCATTTAGGTCAGCACAGAGCATAGAGTTCCCTGTGCTATACATTAGTTATCAATTTTATACTTAGTAGTGTATATATGTCAATCCCAATCTCCCAGTTCATCCCCCCGCTTACTCCTTAGTATCCATACGTTTGTTCTCTATGTCTGTGTCTCTATTTCTGCTTTGTAAATAAGATTGTCTATACCAGTTTTTTTCAGATTCCACATATATGTGTTAATATATGATATCTGACTTCACTCTGTATGACAGTCTGTAGGTCCATCCATGTTTCTATAAATGACCCAATTTCGATTCTTTTTATGGCTGAGTAATATTCCATTGTATATACATACCACATCTTCCTTTTTACTTTTTTTTTTTTTTTTTTTGGCGGTACGCGGGCCTCTCACTGCTATGGCCTCTCCTGCTGCAGAGCACAGGCTCCGGACGTGCAGGCTCAGCGGCCATGGCTCACAGGCCCAGCCGCTCCACGGCATGTGGGATCCTCTCGGACCGGGGCACGAACCCGTGTCCCCTGCATCAGCAGGCAGACTCTCAACCACTGCGCCACCAGGGAAGCCCCACATCTTTAACCATGCGTCTGTTGATGGACATTTAGATTGCTTCCATGTCCTGGCTATTGTAAATAGTGCTGCAATGAACATTGGGGTACATATGTCTTTTTGAATTAATTTTTAATCTTTTCCAGATATATACTCAGGAGTGGAATTGCTAGATGATAGTTCTATTTTTAGTTTTTAAGGAACCTCCATACTGTTCTCCATAGTGGCTGTATCAATTTACCTTCCCACCAACAATGCATGAGGGTTCCCTTTTCTCCACACCCTCTCCAGCATTTATTGTTTGTGGATGATGGCCATTCTGACTGGTGTGAGGTGATACCTCATTGTAGTTTTGACTTGCATTTCTCTAATAATTAGTGATGTTGAGCATCTTTTCAAATGTTTGTTGACCATCTGTATATTTTCTTTGGAGAAATGTCTGTTTAGGTCTTCTGCCCATTTTTTGATTGTGTTGTTTTTTTTGATATTGAGCTGCATGAGCTGTTTGTATATTTTGGAGATTAATCCTTTGTCAGTTGCTTCATTTGCAAATATTTTCTCCCATTCTGAGGGTTGTCTTTTCGTCTTGTTTATGGTTTCCTTTGCTGTGCAAAAGCTTCTAAGTTTCATGAGGTCCCACTTGTTTATTTTTGGTTTTATTTCCATTTCTCTAGGAGGTGGGTCAAAAAAGATCTTGCTGTGATTTATGTCATAGAGTGTTCTGCCTATGTTTTCCTCTAAGCTTTTTATAGTGTCTGGCCTTACATTTAGGTCTTTAATCCATTTTGAGTTTATTTTTGTGTATGGTGTTAGGGAGTGTTCTAATTTCATTCTCTTACATGTAGCTGTCCAGTTTTCCCAGCACCACTTATTGAAGAGGCCGTCTGTGCTCCACTGTATATTCTGGCCTCCTTTGTCATAGATTAGGTGACCACAGGTGTGTGGCTTATCTCTGGGCTTTCTATCCTGTACCACTGATCTATATTTCTGTTGTTGTGCCAGTACCATACTGTCTAGAGCCAAGCCACTTTTATTTTGCTCTTCCATCATCCCCCTGACCCCTCTTCTTTCCTTGCTCCTTCAACTTACCCTTTCACACTCTCAGCTATAGTCATGGTTAGGCCCAGAGGAAACACATACTCACTGAAAATTAAAACTTGCACTGATCAGTTTATACAATTTCTACTTCAGATTACTCTGACTCACCATATGCCATATATTTTCTCCTTAAAAACTGCAAACAAAGATGAACATCTTGGGATCTGGCCTCCAAGAACAACCAAGTTTAAATTTCACCCCTTTTCAGCCTGAAGTAGAGAGAGAGAGAGAGAGAGAGAGAGAGAGAGAGAGAGATGCCGAAATCCCACTACAGTTTCCATTTGAACGTATTAGAATATGGACTTAGAAAATAACATCTGAACCTCATTTTGAAAATGGAGCTCTTCCCAAACCACTTGGCTGTGGCGGGGCCTCTGCAGATGAAGTCTTGCTTTGGCAGCACTGGGCTGGGCTTGGCTTGATGCGGCCTTTCAGCTATTACTGAACCTCTGCTTGAAAGACTGTGCTGTCTGCCCGCCAGCAAGAGACTCCTCCCCACCGTGTGTCCATCTCCTCCTCTCCTCCTGATGGCTGAGTGTTCTTCAGAGCAGTGAGCTCCATTAGCCGCCTTCTTCGAGTCATTGTCATGGTACTGGGATGGCTGCCAGAGCCTCAGAAAAGAAAGGTCGAAGCTTGAGGTTGGGCTCCCCAAATGGGGTAGTGTCATAGGGCATTTAGCATTCCTGAAATTAATAGTTGATGAGGATTTAAATAATGTCATGATTTTCCCCCTGAACATTCCAGCTGGTCATTCCTTTTAGGCACTTTTTTTTTGGTCTAAGTTTATCTACCTCTGAATACACCTTTCTAGTTTTGAACCACACTCCTCACAATTGAATCCTCATCACGGTTAGAAAGCTTGTTTTAAAAATATGCAGTGACAGTATATTCAAAGTCTCAGGTTCTCATACTTTTGTTTTCAAACAAAGCCAATCCCTTCATATGTATTCATCACACAAGAAACAGAGCAGTTCACATACTAGATCTTCAGGGGCTGTTAATGACTGGAGCTTTTCTTCTCAGGCTTGAGGAGTTATGTCAGCTCCAAGTATCTGTAAGTAGATTCACTGTTTGCTGAGGGTCAGGATAGCGGGTTAAGAAGGAGTACGTTATTTTCACCTGAGTAGGTACTTTCCTTGAAGGAAATTCATCAGTTGTGTGGGCCATGGAATTTGGGAAGCTCCCGGGAATGTTGTTCTATTTAAGAAAATGCTGACTTACTCCGTGGTTTATTCTAGATGTTGGATGGGTGGTCAACAAGTCATGCTGGGGAGATGGCAGCCTGAGGCTAGAGAGGCAATTGGTTTACAAATTAGAACAAAGTGAACTGACCCCCACAAGACTTCGGCCTCATCAGCTCCTTGCCACCTGTGGTGTGCTGTTTGACAGCCCTTATTTCTAATTCTCAGCCTGAAGCCTGAAACCAAAACCTCAAAAGCCCCTTTGAAGAATCAAATAAAATTCTGTGTCTTATGGATATTTGTTTAGTATGTATTTACACACACACACAGAAGAAACCGTTATTTGATGTTGGGAGCAATGTTGTTGAAAAGGGTGTCAATGTACCTTTAACTCTAGAAATATTTTATATAAAAGGATCAGGCCCATGATGACATGTTTAACTGTCGCAAGGAGATTTTAGGTCCTTTGAGTAGAAATGGTCTTATCCCCTGGGATCTCAGCAAGTCTTCCAGCTACTGTTCCACCTCCCACCAGCCTCCTGGCTCATGGGTGTGTTGAGCACTGAGGATGGGACATATTGGCCCAACATGGTAACAATTTTTATATGTAATAAGAGCAGATGAAATCTTTGTTGTCAACTATAAACTTACCAAATGCCCATGGTTTCTTGGTCCTCAATGATATGCATTAAAAAGCTGGTTTATTTGTTCATTTGCTTGGGTAAAACAACAAGCTGATGTTAATCTTGAGCTAAAATAATCTTCCTCAACAGGATATGTGGCTCATGAGTTTATTTTGGACACAAGACCCTTCAAAAAGTCTGCAAATATTGAGGCCGTCGATGTGGCCAAGAGGCTTCAGGATTATGGTGAGTGGTCTCCCGGGAGTGACCCCTTGTAGGGGAACTTGGGTTTTTGACATTCATGTAGCTGCCCATGTTGGCTATGGACCACACACTGACTGTGCAGGTACCATAGTATACTGATCCACAGGCTAAATGGGGATCTGGGGGCTGTGGACAGAGAAAAAACTTTGCCCATGACTCGATCGGTACCATCCTTCAAAAGATATTAAATCACGCATCTTGAATCCATCAGCAGCTAGGTAAAGAAGACTTTATAGTTAACAAAGTTAAAAATCCCAGAGAAAATGATTGCTGCTCTCTGCCCATGTTTCTGGTAAATCCTTCCACCTATCCTACTCCTGGTAAACAGAGAGGTCCATGAAAGTGAAGGAAGTGAAGCAGGCATCCTGTAGGAGTGTTAGAAAGATGAGTGGCATTTGAGTTTTATAGCCACCTCAGTCGTGGCATAGCTGTTTCAGCTGCTCATAGAGATGAAGGAATAGGTGCACCTTGTTTTCCCAGAGATGATGTGATTTTTCTGTGAAGTCTTTTATCTGTGTGTTCTTAGTGGATGTTCACTCAGCACAGCCGTTATTAAAATACATTTTCTTAGTGACATTATTAATAACATCACAGAACCTTCAATTCTCAGGAAGGCTAAGTTGGGGAAAACTTTGCCTTTTGATGGATGTGGAGTCCTATCTGAATTTTAAGATGATTTGAATGACTTCTTTTAATAAGGAATGTAAAATCTTTAATAATTTAATAGTTTTACTATCGTATCATAACGGGAGTCCCACGTGTGTGACTCATTTCTCTCGTGAATGAATGATCTTATTATGTAAAGTTACACTGATAATAAATGGGAAAACCAGAGAGTTTTCATTAATGAAATTAGCCATTACCTCAAAATCTCCTGTTGGCTGCTCCTATGACCTGACTTAACTTCTCAGGCAATGGCTGAGTGATGGCTGATTCAGGTTAAGGCTTCCCTTCTGTGATGTGTGGTCTGTATCCCACATCTGACTGCAGCAGCATTTGCAGGGAGCGAGGTGGGGGATGGAGGTAGGAGGGAAGTGGTATTTGAAGTCACTGCCCAGTATTTCCAAGTTCTGCTCTATCTACAACCTTGATATTTTGATGTTTGATAGAGTGATGGCTATGCTTGCCCTAAGCCCAGAACTGTCCAGGTGCCTGGCACATAGGAGGCACTCAGAACAATTGTGCTTAATAAGTGAGAGAATGAATGAATGGCTAAGTAAAAAAAACAACAGTGAAAATGACAACACAGATTCTGGGTCTAAATCACCTACTGAATCAGAATTACTGATTACACTAGGGGTGAGGCCTAGTAATCTGTGTTTACAAGCACTTGGATGAGTCCTATCAGGTGAGTTGTGGGTGGGGCATGCTGCCATATGGCAGAGATTTCTAAACTTAACCTGATTCTGATACGAGTTTTTAAAGGCTCATACCTTGGATTTCCTGAATCAGGGTTAAAATCCAGGAATCCGTGTTTCCATGACAACTCAGATGGTTCCAGATATGGGAACCACTACAGCAGAAAATACTGGGCTGAATTTGCTCACACATGGAATTGAGGTCAGACTTAATGGGTAATGAGATCAGCTTGTTGTTTAAAAAAGAAATCCCTTTCTGATTTGGGTGACACAGTTGTAGGCATTTGTCAAAATTCATTAAATTGTACACTTAAGATCTGTGTATTTTGCAATAAGTAAACTATCACAAAAATATGGGGACAGATACTGAATTCAGATATTGAATTCTAGCTAATAATATGCATGCTGAAGTGTTTAAGGGGGAAGTGTACTGATGACTGCAACATGCTTGGAAATGCATCAAAACTAAGGTGGATGCCTTAGATATGTGATAGGAATAGATGACTAGATAGATATGTGATAAAGCAAACAATGATAGATAAAAAATAGATATGTGATAAAGCAAACAATGATAAAACATTGTAGATTCTAGGTAGAAGGTATATATGGGTGTTCACTCTACAGTCCTTTCAACTTATTGGTATATTTGAACAATTTTATAATGAAATGTTGAGAAGACAATCCCTTAAAGAATGCAGGCATGACTCTATAAAGCACTCCACGTAATGATGCACACCAGAATTGGGAACCATTGCCCTCCAGGGCCAACTTAGTTGACAGAAATATCAACCTGGGAGCTGTTCACCTTTTAAAGTTTCATAGGAAAAAGTGTAAGAATTGGGAAAAAGTTTTTGGCTTTTGTCCAGGAAATCTCTCTCTTGACCATGTGTCTTGTCGATTGATCTTACCATGTGAAAGCTTTTGGAAACATAGAAATACCTTCAGCCTGTATTCAGTGTAAAGGTGAAGACTTTCTACATCCTGGGCAGGCCTCAGTTTCCTCATCTGTAAAATAGGGACAGTAACACTCACCCCAGGCTTCTTAATGCTTGTTACCTCATTATTTAACTTTTGGTAGGCTATAATATTTTAATTTCTCTTAACCTAAAGTATTACATGAACATTATAAAAGGATTCTAAAACACAAAGTGAAATAAAAACCCTAGTCTCATTTTCTGGCAATAACCCTGTTAGAATTTTAGTATTTATTCTTCAAAGCAGCTTCCCTCATAAAATATACATACATACATACATATATAAAGTGTATGTGTATATATACATATACACACATATATAAATGTGTATATATATAAATGCTTTGCCATTTTTAAAACAGAAATGAGACAATATCATTAGGTAGCTTGCCTTTTTCACTTAAGTTGGGTAAACATTCAAAAATATTAACTAATATACATTTAAATACTAAGAATGGTTGCATATTTATTGTATGGAAGCCCAGTAAAAATTTGCCTAACCAATCCTCTATTGTTGGATGTTAGGTTATTTCCTAAGCTTTTCTTCCATAAATAGTGCTAAAATGAATCCCTAGATATATACGGTAGCAAATTTATCAGATTATTTTCCTTGGGATAAACTATAAGATGGGGAGGGTCTCTTCTTCCCAATTGGGGAGGTCAAAGTTAGTGACACAAGTTCCCCCATCTCTTTTGCAGGATTTCATGCCCCTACCATGTCCTGGCCAGTGGCAGGCACTCTCATGATTGAGCCCACTGAGTCGGAAGACAAGGCAGAGCTGGATAGGTTCTGCGATGCCATGATCAGCATTCGGCAGGAAATCGCCGACATTGAGGAGGGCCGCATCGACCCTAGGGTCAATCCACTGAAGGTACGTAGGCACTGGTACTTTATCTAAAATATCCCAGAGAGTAGAAAACAGTGTCTGGATGGTGTGCCGGCAACCTCTGAAGTCTTACTGGAAGATGATATTCTTGCCTAGAATAATGCCATTCTTCTGAGCAGACCATACGTTCATTACCTGGAAGTTTAAATCTTCTTGAATCAACACAACAGTGGTTACTCAAGTATAATGTGGTTATTTATTTTTTTTCCTTTTTTTTTTTTTAAAGATTTTTTTGATGTGGACCATTTTTAAAGTCTTTATTGAATTTGTTACAATATTGCTTGTTTTATGTTTCCGTTTTTTGGCCACGAGTCATGTGGGATCTTAGCTCCCTGACCAGGGATGGAACCCACAACACCTGCATTGGAAGGCAGTCTTAACCGCTGGACCGCCAGGGAAACCCCGAATGTGGTTATTTCTGATGTTTTAACTTTATGTATGCGTTTGGTGGTTGCGGGAGCTATTCACCCCACAAGGACCCAGTTGGCTTCCAAAGGAGGGAGCAGAGGCTGAAGGACCCTATATAGTTGGAGAAGTCTTATCATTCTGTGTCTCTGTTTGATGTACTCTACTGAGATTATTTACCTTATAAACTCTGGATAAATACATTCTTTTATTGGAGTAGTTATCTCTTAGAACAACAAGATTGGTACTTGGCCTGAATGTTTTACCATGTTTATGGCCTACACTGGAAAAAAAATTGTTAGGCATTACTTCGCCTCTTCCAAAATATGTTCCTTTTATATCTGGTCAGAGCTCTAAGTTCTGCATTAGGTCCAGACATTATTAAGCTGAGGGATCATGAATTGAGAATACCTCGAAGGCTGTGGTTCTGTTGTTATGGCTTCAAGCCAGAGGAGTATGAGATGTTCAGGGGAGCTCAGACAAGTTCCAGAGCTGCCCAGCTGAAGGTGGAGTGCTGGGGCCAGTGGCTGGCGGGAGAAGGCCAGCACCGTGCTCAGTGTGAGTTTGACAGGGTAGTGGAGGAATATAGGATTTGCTCTCATTATTATTTCTCTTTTCTCTGGATTCTTTCAGGGTTTAGGCCGTTTTTTAAAAAATAGCAATAGACATCTAAAGAATACAATACTGAGATACAAAAGCAAGTGGAGGATAATACTCACAGGATGATATAAGGTTTAAAAGTGTACCAAACTAGGCTCTATGCAGTTTATTAATATATGCAGTAATAGTATAAAAACACGATGAGAATTGTGACAACCAAATTCAAGGTAGTGGTTATCGCTGGGGAGGAGGGCCAGCAATAAGATGGAAAGGGGATATGCAGGCAGCTTCAACTGTATCTGTAATGTTTCTTGTTTTAAAAGGTTAAGAAATATGACAAAAATGTTGATTTATGTTGGGTGCTTATTTTATTACTGTAACTTTCTGATATTTGAAATATTTCACAGTAAAAATTTCCCTACCAAAATTTCCTTCCCCCCAAACTGAAACAAAACCACCACCCTCCGTCCATGGGCTTCCATCACCTCACTGGTTAATGTGATGTGCAGAAGGAAAAGGCAGTGTTCTGCTCTGACCCCTCTCCCGTCCATGTCTCTGTCTCAGATGTCTCCACACTCGTTGACCTGCGTCACATCCTCCCACTGGGATCGGCCGTATTCCAGAGAGGTGGCAGCATTCCCACTTGTAAGTTCTCCTCTGAAACTGGATGTGCCAGCTGGTCCACGTTCATGGGTGTATGAGAGGCCATCACCTGCTCTGAAGGGCTCCCACTCTTGCTGTCTCCTCACCATAGTGACCACATGTAGTCAGAACAGTGCAGAACCCAGGAATTGGCTTTCAGAGCTCTGAGGTCAGAGTCAGCATGCCAACCAGGGGCCTGGGAATCCTCAGGGTGCACAGTGCAGGAAGACCAAACGGGAGTCCCTGTCAAGTGGATCGATGTTTTCTACCATCATCCAACAGAGAGATGGCCCCAAATGCAGTCTTTCTCCCCTTTGATTCTTAGGTGAAGGTGCTCTGTGGTATGCTCGGCAGAGCAGGGACAGGGGGATTCGGAGGGACAGTAATGAAGGAGTTTGGATTTTAGCTTTTTATACTTTTTGAGTACTTGTTGGGCTAATGGTACCTCAGGCCGTGGGAATATCATTGCAGTTTCCTCTTCCCCACCAAGAGAAACCTCTCAGAATATCCCGAAGATTTCCGTCTTTTGTCCCTTGCAGCCCTTCGTGAAACCAGAAAACAAATTCTGGCCAACCATTGCCCGGATTGATGACATCTATGGAGATCAGCACCTGGTTTGTACCTGCCCACCCATGGATGTTTACGAGTCCCCATTTTCTGAACAGAAGAGGGCCTCTTCTTAATCTTCTCTCCCTAAGTTCAAGTGACTGATTTAATGGCTTTGGCGCGCCTGATCAAGAAATGTTTCACTTTCCACCACAGACTCAAGTAGGGGTTTTATATACTGTGAATATTTTTGTAATCTCTCTCAAGGTAAATGTAAATACAATTAGCATAGTGAGTGGAAGCTCACTGTTGGAAGATTGATTTGCTTTGGTGCCTCTGCTTTCACATGTAGCAGCTGATGTTCAGGTTGCCTTGATTGGGACCACTTAGTTTTTTGCATAGAAAATTTGGGGTGTGCTAGTAACTTTAACTCCAGTGTAGCAAGTTTGCAGTATAGAGACTATACTGAAGATCCGATAGACATATTTTTATTCCAAATAAGTCCTTGTGGACTGTGCCATCTGTGGGAAATCCCAGGGCAAATGTTTACATTTTGTATACACTGAAGAAATCTTTTTCCTTCTACTAATTTGCCTAATCTGTAATAGTATTTCTGAGTGTTCTCCTTTTTCCATGTGTGTAGTTTTTTAAAAATCTGCAATTAATAATATTCTAATAAAAGCATTGCAATTTGAAGAATGCCTTCTTGGTCCACTTTCCAATGTTAACTCCCATGTACCCTAGTTTCAGAGGAGTTTGAAGGGTAATGAGAATACCCAACCCAGTAGAACCGTTACATTATTAGTTGTGTCTTTGGCTAAAGAAACAGTTTGTATGTCTCAGTCAGCAGTGAATGCCACTTTAGCCCTTTCTGCTAGAATTGTGTTTGGCTGCATATAACTGAAAAACAACCACAGCATTTTAATTAAACAGCAGCTCATTTTTTTTTTCTCATTTAACAGTAAGTCCAGAGATAAGAAGCCGAGGGGTAGTCTTCAGTTTTCCTGTTCTGCCTCCTTTGCATACAGTCTTCATCCTCACGGTCCTAAGATGGCTACTGCATACCCGGGCATCACATACCCATTCTAGGCAGGAAAAAGGAGGAAAAACAAAAGGCAGATTCCATCCAAGTCAGGTGCTTTTGAAATGCTTTCCCAGAGGTTCCACCCAGTAACTTCTGCTTACTTTTAACTGGCCAGGCTTGGTTCAAATTGCCACTCCTAGCTGCAAGGGAGTATGAGAAGGTCTTTTACCTGGGCATGTTACTGCCCCAAAGAAAACCAGAAGTTTGTTAATTGAAGAAAAGGAAAAGAATGAGTTTCAGGTAGGCAATTAGCACGCCTGCCACAAGTAACTTTTCCCTAGAAATAGCAAATGCTTCATATGTTCCTCCCCAAAAGTTATTGAGCATCTGCTCTAACCCTGACTACTTGGTTCCTTGTTTGTTACTCAACCAACCATCATTCAAGCTATTATGATAGTGACCAGAACGAAAGGTCTGCGTGCTCTATTGAATGCTCTGCAAGCGGTCTACTCATTCTCACACTTAAAAGTTTGTAGAACTGTTCATTTCAGCCTAACTAAGCAGTAGCGAAGTGATGGGATCCATGGTTCCTTTTTTACATAATAATTAAATGATTAATATCTGTTGAGTACTTCTCAGGTACTATTCTAAGTGTTTATTATTTCATTGGAGCCTCACAACATTCCACTTTTACACGAGGGGGAAGGTATGGAAGGATGTCCAAGGTCACACAGCTGATGAGAAAGAACAGCCAGAATCTGAACCCAGGCTGAACAACTCCAGTTCCTACCGGTGTAAACTGGGTACCACACTGCCATGGTCACCACACACCTGGAGACTCTGCCCTTCCTGAGCTGGAAACCAGGCTCTCAACACAGACTGACCATCAGGGAATGGAGTAGCCCCTTCTGAGGAAGCACAAGCATGTGTAAACAAACCATCAGAGTGAACAGCAATTCTTTTCTTTCTTATCAGACTGTACAGTGTTAGTGGTCGAGTACCCAAGTTGTCTCCACAGCTGGTCATTCACTGCTTGCCTTGGAATATGTTAGGGGCAAAAGCAGGTGATTAAGAGAGTTGAAGTAAACTGTCTGTCTTCACTATTAAGTCACTCATGCGTTCACCTGAGGCTTGTGCCATCTTTCCCTGCTCCGGGTCTTTGCCCGTGTAGTATCTCGTCCACCTGGAGCACTTGTCCCTGTCACCTTTGCTTTGCTGGCTCCCGTTTGTTCTTCATGTTCCAGCATCTCTTCCGGCGGTCTTCTGCACGTCTCCATGAAATGGGATCTCTCTTTTTCTAGCTTGGCACTCAGTTTGTTATCCTACACTCTTTGCACAGTTAGTAATTATTCTGTTTACTTGATTTTTGTCTACCTCATTAGACTAAGTTTTCTGAGAGCAGGGACCATATCTCATTCATCATTGGATTCCCAGTGCTGAGCTGGGGTCTTCCACATTGTATGTGTTCAACAAACAAATATAAATTGAATGAATGAAGGAATAATCCTTGATCTCAAAGAGGGACACTGCCATGGAAACCAGTATTCCCAGTGCATGCTGTGAGGGTTCTATTAAAGCTAAGTACAAAATGCCAGGCCTGGGAGACACGCCTCTGGACAGGCTTTGTATAGTTCCCCCTCACCCCCACCTTGTGATAAAATTTACCATTTTAACCATTTTAAATTATTCAATTCAGGGGCATTAAGTACCTACAAAATGTTATGGAGAATATACCTTTTGAGCACTTTTGAAGATGAGGAGTCTGATGTAGACACACACATACATCCTGTGAATCGGGCATCCCCTTGGCCTTCTCACAGCCCTGGGACAGGCCACAGGCCACTCCTGGAACAACCCTCGCCTTGTAGCTGTGTGTCATAGAGGGGAAGGGCCCCAGCTCAGTCTGAAAACGCCATGAAGGATTTCCCTGGTGGTGCAGTGGTTAAGAATCCACCTGCCAATGCAGGGGACACGGGTTTGAGCCCTGGTCCGGTAAGATCCCACATGCCGCGGAGCAAGTAAGACTGTGCGCCACAACTACTGAGCCTGTGCTCTAGAGCCTGCGAGCCACAACTACTGAGCCCACACACCTAGAACCTGTGCGGCGCAACAAGAGAAGCCGGCGCAACAAGAGAAGCCACCGCACTAGGAAGCCTGCGCACCGCAACGAAGAGTAGCCCCCGCTCGCTGCAACTAGAGAAAGCCCACGCGCAGCAATGAAGACCCGACGCAGCCAAAAATAAATAAATAATAATAATTTAAAAAAAAATCATGAACCCTCTAGATACATATAGGGAACGTGTTTTCCAATGACCAAACTGGTGCCTTTCATGCAAATAAAGGAGGCAGGTGCCAGTTTTGGGTGCAAGAAGCCATCTGGGACAAGCAGTTTGGAAGTTGAGATGTTAGCACTTTGAGAGGTTTGCAGGGCTCTGGGACATAACATTTGGCTCAGACATCAGCCAGGGTTAGGGATGTTACCTAGGGCAGTGGTTTTCAAACCTTAGTGTGTCTAGATCACCAGAAGGGCTTATAGACAACAGAATGCTGAGCCCTGATGCATTTCTGATTCAGTATCTCTGGGGCAGGGCCAGAGAATTTGCATTTCTAACAAGTCCCAGGTTTTGTTGCCTCTCAGCTTTCTTTGTTCACATTTCAGAGACATTTCCAGAACTCTAAGCCTTTAAGGGATGGGTCTGGGGAGGCAGGTAGGGGTGAGGAAGAGGCTGGACTTAGTCAACCTTGCATCTTTTATGCAAATCTTACCATTTTGAGAGGAAAATCCCTCTATGACCGGAGCAGACTGTCCTAGAGCCGATGCCAACTGTGCTTCCGCCTGTCTGGCCTGCTAGGCTCGCTCCTGCCATTTGGAAAACAAATCAGCTTTATTATCAATAAGAAGCCAATTGGAGACTGTGGTTTTAGATCTCTAGCTGGAAGGGCTTGCTTCTCCATTTTTACCCCCATGCTTCAGCAATCTGAGCCCGGGGACACCCCACTCAAGAAAAAAGCTCGAGTCTGTAGAGCAGATATGCTAATCCAGAATTGCCGCCCTGTGCTGATCCCAGGTGAAGGGAGGAGATAAAAAGGGGGGGGGGGGCTTCCCCAGTGCTAGTGGAGTAACGTGGTGATCATCGTCAATCACCTCCTCTGTGGAGAGCAGTAAGAGGTAAGCCAGGAGGCAGGAGTGTTCCATCAGCTGAGGTCATTCCAGAATGTCCAGAAGACAAGAATCCAGGAAGCAGGAGTTGGTGCCCAACACAGAGCATACTACTCTCATAAGTCTGTTTATTTTCCTGCTGGGTGTAGTGCAGGATAGCAACCAGAGTACTTCCTTTGTAGTCAGACTGCCTGGGGTGGTATCCCAGCTCCCCTATATGTACCTGTATGGCCTCAGAGAAGATAATTAGCATCTCTGAGCCTCAGTCGCCTTATCTGTAAGATAACATTACCACTCCTAGGTGAGAGTGAATTCGATATATTGTTTGGAACCTGGCACAAAGTAAGTGCTCCTTAGTGTTAGCTCCTGTTATTATCCTCATCTTCACATAGGATCTAATGTCCTATTCTATACATCCTGCACTCCCTGTACCAGCACAGGAGTCCTGACTCCAGTTTGACTTCCTTGCATTCAGATCCATCTTCTTTCCCTTTCCATTCCTAAGGGCCCTTTTCCTCTGGACCACCAGAGAAAGTGGGAGGAACATGAGCTGTGACTTCATACGGATCTGGATTAAATTCTCAGATATACCAACTGTTTTGAGACAACAGGCAAATTCACTTATCCTTCCTGCACTTCAGTTACTTAAGGTATAAAACAGCAATAATAAAAGTACTTACTTCAGTCAGCCTTGTTGTAAGGATTAAACAAGATAGAGTGAGCACTTGGCATAGTGTCTGGTACCTAGAAATCACTAACTTATTCAGCAAACTGACTGAGCCATTATGTACCAGGCACCATTCTAAATGACAGAGATACAAGATGAACAAGAAAGTTAAGTCCTCTTTCATGGGACATCAATTCTAGATGGACAAACACATCAAGACTTCACAGTATTAAATGTTCTTTAGAAAACAAAAACCAATATGGCCTGTGGGTGGGTGGTGTTTGGGAATCCTTTATATTAGGTGACCAGGG